ATTCAACAATGTACAGGCAACAGATGAAAATGGTCTTCTCATAATTTGAAGCTCAATTTTAATTCATCTTTCTATTGTAGATTTGTATACTTTTAGGTTTGTATACGTGCATTTAGAATAGAAATGGAAGCATGGAAGTGCAGTTACCTTGTAAAGGGTTGCATTGTATGGTATAAGACAAAAAATTAAAAAAATGTTTCTTGTCATCCTTCCTGGATTTGCCTTTCTTTTTCTTTAAAGGTTCTTACGAAGATTATTTGATATTAGTTAACTAGGAAGCACTTGTGGCTCGTATTTGTGGCGTGACAGGGTTAAGGGATACTGCAGTTCCCGTGAGTGAACAAAAAGCAATCTGAATCTTCTTTTCATGAGTTCATACTTGTCGTTTTGCTTCTGGTTCGAGCAAACTGGAAATCATGTGTGTGATATGGCACTGCTCCTAAGAATTTTTAAATCAATTTGAAATGCAAACTCTATATTCTTAAAAAATGGTTATAGACTAGTACCCATAAATGTAGATTTGGAATAGCTGCAACATTATGCTGTTCCAATTCCAGTTGGTTTTAGTTTTGGTTTGGAACAAACACTACAATGTGATGTAATTGTCTTTCTCTGATTATTTTTACCTTGATGTATTCTTTTGCTGGCTTGTGTGTATAGTTTTTATGTGCTGTCATTTGAAAAACTTTAAAACCCTAGAGAGCCAAAGCTGGAAACCCTTCTGGATGTATCACTGTTTTTTATTGGTGCATGGCAATCGCAGCAGCACCTTAGGGGCCTATAATTCCTCTTGAGTAGAAAACGGGCTTCTCATCATTTAATAAGGAATGTGATTTTACACCTCAGTCTAGCAAAAATCTGCTTACTGTCGTGATTACCATCCCTGGGCTCCACCCTGCCTTTCACCGCCTGCCACTTACCAGTAATTCCTTTGGCAATTAGAGTGCAGCCCAAACTGTCAAATGAACTGGCCCCTTTTTGAGAGCCTTCTGATTATTCTGCTTATTTTGTGGTGATGTCAGATTTCCAAGGGTAATTTCTCACTAGAGGAGTATGTTTTTCTTTGGGACTTGCATCACCCTCTCATTTTTGGTCTCCATTTCAGAAGTAATGATTGCTTACTGAAAATATGCATTATGTGGATTTTCTATTATTCAGTTCCATTACTTTTTGTGACTACATCATATACATTTCTAGGAAGGACAAGAAAAGATTCTGTAATCCAGAAAATAAGCCACGGATTGAGAACTGAGCAAACTGAGTTTTTCCTCATAACATATATGTTTGTCTGGTGCACTCTTAAAGAAAAGATTTCACAGTTCCTTATTTTAATTACTTCCAAGACACTTCATGGCAGTATTTTCTCTTCCATGCTTAAGCAGCAAAATTATTGAAAAGGAAGTAAATGCATTTTTTTAAATATATGATGTTTCCCTTTTTTCTGTTTGAATGTTTGACATCATTACATATATACCTGAAGTGAAATTCAGAACTTCCTTCCTTACACTTTGACGTTTGTGATGCTATTAGCTCCTGCAAAAGAAAATACAAACCCAATTTAATCCTGGTAGGAAATGAAGAAATGTCAAAACATTTATGTTTAGCAATGTATAGCAGCTGCTAACATTTTTATTCTCTCTCATATTAAAATCTTAAAATAGCTTTTACTATTGCTTATTTAAAGTCAATGGAGTATACCTGTAAGTGTATAAAGGCAGGAAGAACAGTCTTCTCACATTCTGTATTCCTTTAAGATACATTATTTGATATATTTCAACCATATTGCTGGACACCAAGCCAAATATAAATGCAGTTACGGTGAACGTGTTATCTAAGGCAGTGGTTTCTAGAATTTTTTAGGCGTTACATCACTGTTATGCTCTTCTGCTTGCCCTCCTCTATCCGTCCGAGCCAAGGCCTTTTGCTAGATCCTCTGCTGGGTGCTTTTAAAATGCATCCAGTAACTTAGATAGCTCGGCCGTTGCAGGTCCAGGAACTGGACCACTGGACTGGTCACCAGTGACTGCAATGCAGATTTACTCCAAAGACGTGGAGGAGGAGAGGTCCATGGGTTTATGTGAAGAGGCTGCAGGAGAGAATTGGACCAATGCCAGCTCCCAATAGTCTCTCCAGCAACGGTTTCCCATTTCCTCTTATTTTCTTTTGCTTCCCTGGTTTCTTTGCCTTGTAACTCCCTCATGATTGGTTTTCATTTCTCATTTTACTGTCTATCTGTATTAGATTATAAGCTCCCGAGTGCAACGATCTTATCCTTTTCAACGGATGAAAAATGCTAGGCACACTATGCATATCAAGGATGTCTTTTGCTTTCATTCTTTTCTCTCTTCTGCTGTGGAAATTCAGGCTGTATGGAAGGAAAAGGGAGTACTAGTGCACATTAATTGGTGAGGTGGACAAGAGAGGGTTCCCTTTCAGCTTTTTTTATGGTCTCTTCCTTCAGAGGATCCGTAAAATGTGCCAGTTCACAGAAATGTTAGTGCAGTAACATATGCAAATTGAAATTATGCACATTTGGTATGTTGATGTAACTTTTAAGTGCGTATGTGCTGATATGTCCTGGCAGTAATTGATATGGCTGTAGAAGTACTTGAAGAGGACACGTTTCTAGCACTGTGTACTGATTAGATTTCACTATGACTGCCTAGGTTCTACAGTAATGCTTGCTTTTGAAATGCACGTAATAGAATAAGTAACTATTAAGATGCATGTATTTCATAATTTCTTAAAATAAAGCTCATAGCTACAGTAGTAAAAGACTTTATATTTAAAGCAGACCTAAAAGCAACAGACCACTGTAATCAGAATTTGTGTATTATATACACTTAAGAGAATCTGAGTCTTACTTCTAAAATGTATCATTTAAAAAATAACCCACAGCTGATAATTTAGGGATTATTTTGTCAGTTTTCAGATGGTAGATGCTCTTCTTTTTCCTTAAGTCTTATATCTAATGGTCACTTACCACTTTGCAAATCAAGCTTAAATCATCACTCTGAATCTATGCCTTTTTGCTTCACAAAGCTGTATGTTTGTCCAGAATGGGAACCACACTGGAAGCAATATGGTTGTCCTGAAATACTTTTGGATTTCTGACAGACTCCTAAGCAGCCATAAGCATGGTGGTAAACAAATGATGTGTTGCTATTTGCAGTTTTTCCTGGACTACATTGTGAAGTGATATAGGCAGATTTACTGTCATCTTGGATCACCTCCTTCTGCCTATATAGAAATGGCTTTGTAAAAATCTTGGAGGAACATATTTCCTGAAAACGTGGACAGTTTGTATAATGGCAGTAATAATGCTCAGTTAAATAAAAGGATGTATTCACCGAGAGAAAAACTTGTACAGGGTGGTTATAGATAGTGTCTTTCAGAAAAGATTTGCCCACCTGTACTTCTCCAGATTGATTTCTTTATAAAGAATTTATCATGCCTTAGTATTGCAAACTGCTGTGTTTTCCGCTGCCTGCTAGGAGTAGGTCAGTTCTGCCAGAGTAGCTATGATCATACTTGCAGGCACAGTCTGCAAGTAAATGGTACAATCTGCAATCACTGGAGGCAAGAAGGGGCCCCCAGCCGCTTGCAGGAGCGTAGCTGGTACCTGCAGGTTGCCCAGCACAATACTGATGCCCAGTGCCAGATACAGCAAACGCATCTAGATCAAAACCCATTTAAATATCCAGACATGTTCTCACAAATGGAAAAAGGGATTCCAGTTTCAGTTCAGTAAACAACCGTATCACAAAGGGTTTGAGGAGTAGCAAAGAGCTGGTAAGGGGGTGAGCGGCAAGGAAGGTGCTTTTTAGAGATCTTAAAACTTACTAAAGGTTGGCCTGTTAGGCCTTGAAAAGATCACAAAAAATGTAAATAAATAGCGAAAAACTTAAGTAGAGGCCCTTTGGAATGAGGGTGGAATTGAGATTCATCTTAGGGGTAGCGCTGAAATGAAATGAGTGTTTCCCCTCATCTCTTAATGAGGATAATGTCGTCAGATACAGGAAAGTATGAAAGCGTAAACTATTCTATGCAAGATGAAAGCAAAACTAAAAATAGAGAGCCCACGTGAGTGAAGGGACAAGAGAATCTCAGAGTCATGAGTGAAGTGAAGCATGGAAATGATGATCAGTACTATGGGTGTCTCATAAATCTGCTGCGTAGATCTGTCATACGATTAGGCTGGAACAAATGCATTTATCTGTATGGGCTGAGCCATTCAGGAGAATGTCAGTCTTCAGAGCTAATTTGAGAAAAAGTGGAAATACGCTTACAAAAATTGTTGATGATATAAAATTGTGAGGCACCGTGAGTCCAGAGAAGAAATGTGGTTTTTATAGAAAGAATTGGAAAGGCTTGACATCTGGAATAGTAGAGATACGGTGAAATTAGAAGTGCAAGATCAGGAATCTGGGGAGTAATAAGAAGTTACACTGCTAAGCTGGGAGCTTGTCTTTGGAAATTATAACAGATAGGAATCACAGTAGAAAAGGAACACCTGCTCTTTTTTCCATGGGAAACAGATGGAATAAAATGAGAAATGAAGGGGAGCGAGTTCCCTAAGGATTTTTGAAAATATTAGTGCAATTTAGAAATTGGTATCAAACGATATCTTTTTTTTGCAATTAAGAATTGTTTGTTAAAGGGAGAGGAACAGGAGTGGCATTGCTAAAAACGATGAGTAATACGCCAGCACTTACTTTCATCTAGCGCCGACTCGGTGGTTTGCTATGTGAAAAGAATTGTGTTTTTTCTGCATCGACTTCATGGTGACTGATACAAAGGCCAGTGGTGCTCACTAGCGTGCTAGTTTCTCGAGTTGACAAGTGAATGTGGTGTGTTTCCAGCAGGGAGTAATGTACATTTTTGAGAAATGATAAAGAATAACTTGGATGTGAACATGTAAGAATTATAAGAATTAACTCTGTCCTTTTTCAATGGGAATTTGCGTGTTTAGAAAACATCTTTCTCTTACTGTTTTTCAGCCATGGAAGAGTTAATAGTTGAGCTGCGTCTATTTCTTGAACTTCTGGACCATGAATATCTAACTTCTACTGTCAGGGAGAAGAAGGCAGTAATAACTAACATCCTCCTGAGGATACAGTCATCAAAAGGTCAGTGCTGGGGCTGTGCTTTCTTGCTTGTAGAACGCACAGAATAAGTCCGTGCTCAACAAGATGGCTTTACGGGGTGAGGACAAACCCTAAACTGAAGCAACACAGCAAGACAGAGTGAAGCCTAAGCGCCACTTTTCTGAGCACTTTCCATAATGCTCAGCGTTGAAATACAGCAAAAGACTTATTGGAAGTAATAGCTTACTGCACGTGAGTGAATCTAGCCACAAAATAATGCGCTAGATAGAATGTTTTCACTTTGTTGACACAGTAGTTATTTCATTTTATTTGTGGCAGCAATTCTCTTTATCAGTTTTGATGGAAAAGTAGAACTCTGTTAGGGAGCACTGGCCACCACACCTTTTCTAGCAGCATGGAGGCTGCATGCTGCATGTCTGTCATATGACCTAAATTCATCAAAAGGCTTGGTTTAGATGCAGACTCTGGTGCATGGCTAATGCAGGAGTGCCCAGCCAGAGCCAGGAAACGACAGTCAGTGTGTTTGGTTTTCCTTTCCTAATTGGAGTAATGCTCACTTTCCCCTCCTCTCCCTATCTAAAACTGTTTTAATTGCACAGTCACTTTTGTCTCCATCCAGACTATGTAATCGAATGCAATATAAATTGGTTGACTATATACAACAATCTTCTGTACAAGCTTTTACAAAACATATTCCTCACTATTTTTCCTAATCGTAGTCCTCTATTTCCATACAGCACCTTTCTGTATAAGGAAGCATTTGGCTATAAGATCTGTCGTTTGACAGACATATTGTCAGGGTAAACCCCCAGTGTTTGGATTCTGAAAAACTATAGAAAAAATGTCACACTGTGAGCAGCTGCATTTCGCATGACTTGTTTCTTACTCCAGTGCTAAAAATAGCATGATCATCCCCCTCCAGTAAAGAAACCGTATTTGCCACAGGATTCAGGTCCAGGGAGCTCAGCTTGAAAATGATGATCATCCTGCTCTCAGTTTTGACTTTCTTGATGATCCGTCACTATTTTTACTTTACTAGTGAGAAAAGTAGGCAGGTAACGATTTCATGTGTTGTAGAAGAAGTCTTCATTTCATACTCCAAAAGCCAATCAAAATATATGGAACTCCCCAAAAGAAAAATCTGTAGCTGAGTGTTTGCAATTTGGTATGTATAGAAACCGCGGTATTTTACAGAAGCTCAAAATAACCTCATACAATGCTGATCTTAAGTTGTATGTTGTTCTTTTGATCTTTTCAGCTAGATTTATTATAAAGACATTTGACTTCCTCGAGAAATCAGACAGCATTCTGTTGCCAGCTTTGGAAACATAGGAAAAGGTTGTCATATCCTTTTTTCTGGGTTGTGGTTGATGTTTCAGGACACAGAAAATACAACTGTACTAGTAAATTAAACAGTGCTGGGTATGTTTCTGGGCCCTGGAACTCACCATTTGCACTGCTAAATTTTTGGAGTGCTCCTTGGCATGGTTTTGGCCTGAGCTGACTTGTCTCTCTCATTAGTTCCTAGGCATGATTTGGGGGTTATCATGGGCAAAGAGCCGTTCCCAACAGACGGTTCAGAAGTCCTCCTTCTCCACCCTGGTTTTAAGGGGCTAGAGATTTTAACAAAATTGATATGAATTTCTCAGTACCGTGGGAACCTTCCCGCTGTAGATGTGGCCAAGGATCAAAGGACTCAAGGAACATAGCTTTCCACCTTTCAGCCCCTACCTTGTAGCTTTTGGTGCCTACTGCAAGATCCATAACATCCTATTGCAGGATCCATCCATTAATAAGATCTGTACAAGATCCACATATTATGCGTCCAGGTTTGGTTCAGTGAAGTTGTTAGCAGAAGATTGTACCCACTTCTGTCTCCTGTGTTCAGGGAGATAAAGTTGAGACATCTCAAAGAAAAGTCAAAACAATGATTAGAGGATCCAGTAATATGCCTTTGAATTACCCTAGAAGAGGGATCGTAATTAATCTCAATATAGAAAAAGGACGACTGAGAATGAGCTCTTAAACTTGCACAACAAAATATAGCAGTATCCAGTGGCTGAATGTTTATTTCAAAGTCAAAATCAGGACCTATTTTGAACACTGAAAATATTAACTAATGGAAGAACTTACTAAAGTCCGCATGCCATTGCTGGCATTTTATCAAGATGGAATATTTTGCTAAAAGATATGCTCTAGTTCAAACATATTAATCCAAGGAAGTCCTATAGTTGAATTAAGCAAGAGGTCATAAAAGGTGGTAGTAGACATCTCTTTGGGCTGTACTTTGTAAATCTACAAACTCCAGTTCACAGAATTGGAGTTTAAGTAAGAGTCCAAGGCAGCACGGTCTCTGAACAAAGCGCTGCTGTCCCTCTCCCTGGGCTACT